GCGGAGGCGGAGGAGGAGGAGGAGGAGGAGGAGGAGGAGGAGGAGGAGGAGGAGGGGTCAGGGGTCAGGAGTCAGGGGTCAGGGTCAGGGGTCAGGGGTCAGGGGCCAGGGCGTGGAGGAGGGGGGTCAGAGTGCGGGGCGAAGGGGGGCCCGAGGCCCACAGCGTGAATGAAGACGTCATCCTGAGCGGGGTCCTGGGGCTCGGGGGTCGGCCACTGGTCCTGGTTTCCAGGCTCTTGGGAGGAGGTGGGAGCAGTTTCGACCTCCTGGGCCGCGGGCCGCCGAAACCTGAGGCGCTCGGGATCGGGCCGGGAGCTCCGAGAGCGCCTGCAAAACGTCCAGCGCCCAGGCATGCCCCGCCCCCTCCTCCTGGACCGACCCCACGTAAAAATCCCTTCGACCTTTCACCTCGGGACCCGAGCTCCCACCTTCTACTTCGGCCCGAGGCTCCTGGGGAACGAAAGCGAAGGCCGTGGCAACCATGGGCTCAGCGAGGGTATCACAGAGGCCTGGGGGGTAGACCGTCTTGACGGCCGTTCTGAACGCGGCGGCGGAAGAGGAGGGAGGAGGGAGGGGCAGGCGGCGGCGGAGGAAGTGGCGGCGGAGGGAGAGGAGAAGGGCGGGGGAAGCGGCGGAAGACAAGAAGGTGGTGGAGGAAGAGGGTGGAGAGAGGATAGGCGGCAGAGGAGTTTGGGGGGTGGGGAGGGAGGAAGCGGCGGAGAAACAGGAGGCAGCGGAGGACGAGGGGGGAAGCGAAGGAACGTGGGGCCAGCCAAGATGGATCGGTCGGGAGGTGGTCTTGGACGACGGGTCCGGCAAGCTGCTGCGGCCCGCGAACTTGGAGGCGGCTCCTTTGCAGCCAGCTTTCGCCTCCGCAATTGGGCCAAGCAGCGCTAGTCCCCTCTGCCAGTGCGTCGCCCACGGAGCGGTGCCCTCCTTGGTCTTCGCAGCGATGGTCCTCGCCCTCCTTGCTCCTCCTTGGAGGCCCTTGCCCTCCCTGCTCCGCCTTGCAGGCCCTTCTAACCATTGCTGCTCCTTGGAGGTCCTTGCCCTCCTTGCTCCTCCTTGGAGGTCCGCTCCTCCGACTCGCCCTCGGCCAGTGCGTCGCCCACGGAGAATCGGCCCTGCCGATGCCGCCTGGCCAGGGGCCACCAGCTGGCAGTCAGGGCTGACACCGCGTTTCGGATGATGCACGTTGGCGTCCTGCGGTTGTGCGCACGGCCCGGGTCACGCATGCTCAATCGATGGCGGAATGGACAGCACCATGCTACAAGGAAGGACGAGGAGGAAGAGGAGGAGGAGGAGGAGGATGAGGAGGAGGAGGAGGAGGAGGAGGTGGGGGAGTAAGAGGAGGAGGAGGAGGAGGAGGAGGAGGAGGAGGCACCATACGCTGCGTTAACACTTCGAGGACCGCCCCTCTTTGGCCACGCTGCAGGAGGAGGAGGAGGAGGAGGAGGGGGGGAGGAGGAGGAGGAGGAGGAGGAGGAAAAAGAAGAAGAAGAAGAAGAAGAGGCGGAGGCGGAGGCGGAGGAGGAGGCGGAGGAGGAGGAGGAGGAGGAGGAGGAGGAGGATGAGGAGGAGGAGGAGAAGGAGGAGGACGAGGAGGACGACGAGGAGGAGGACGAGGAGGAGGAGGAGGAGTCCGACGCACATGCAAGCTGTCGTAGGAGCCCTGTGGATGCCTGCTGGTGTAATCCTCGGAGGAGGAGGAAGAGGGGAGGAACGGGAGGAGGATGGGGAACGAGGAGGAAGGGCCCATGCAACAGCGCGTTCGTTTCATCCACAGCCGATGCCTAGGCGAGTTGCCTCAGGAGCCTCTTGGTGCCATCAAGGGAGGAGGGGATGATGATAATGATGCTGATGCTAATGACGATGGTGATGCTGTTGATGCTGCTGATGGTGGTGGTGATCATGATTAGATGCCTGATGATGTCGTTGGTGGTGGTTAGTATGATGATGATGCTGCTGATGATGATGATGCTGATGCTGAGGGTGATGATGTTCTGGATGATGCGGATGGTGTTGGTGGTGTTGATGATGATTATGATGATGCTGATGATGATGCTGATGATGACGATGATGATGATGCTGATGATGATGGTGGTGATGATGAGGATGATGGTGATGATGAGGATGAGGATGAGGATGAGGATGAGGATGAGGATGAGGATGAGGATGATGGTGGTGATGATGATGACGACGATGATGAGGACGAGGAGGAAAATGAGGATAATGATGCGGACTGTAAGGATGACAAGGATGATGAGGATGATGATGATGAGGAGGAGGAGGAGGAGGAGGACGAGGAGGAGGACGAGGACGAGGAGGAGGCCTTCGCGGATCTCTCGTTGTGAGAACCTCTTCGCGGCGTTCGGGGGCTCATGGAGTCCTCGTGTGGCCCTCTTCGGGCCCCCTTTTGGCCTCTCGCGCCCCTCTAGGGGCCCTGTCGGAGCTCGTTTGAGGGCCCTTTGGGGGCTCTTTGGGTGGTTCTCGGAGCGATCTTGGACCTCATGGCTCAAAGGGGAGGGGGGCTGAATTCCCCCCGCCCCCCACCCACCCCTCTTTGGAGGCCGAACGTGTGCCATGAGCACTCTTGAGACCGTCTTGGGGCCCTCTTGGGCTCCTCTTGGAGCTTTCTTGGGCCATCTTGGGGCCACATCGAGGCCTCAGATGCCCACCGAAAGCGAAGAAGGCGAGCGTACGAAAAACATGGATTCTTCCTTTGTGACCTCTTGGGGGAGTCCTTGAAGGTCTCCGAGAGCACGTTGAACCGTCTTGAAGCCGTTGTGTGGATCTCAGCCGATATGCCCCAAGACTTAGTTATTGGGGCATCTCGGCGTCCGACATACCTCTGGAGGTACAGTGTAGGTTATCATCAGCCATTTTGGGCTCCTGGCGCATCGGGGGCCATCTAGGGACCGTCTTGAACCTGAAAGGGCTGTCTGACACCTCGCCCCCCCTCCCCTTGTCCAGAACCTGGCGAGGGCACAATGGGGTAAGGGCAATCCCCTCCCCGATTGGGGGACGAAGGGGCTCGGGAAGAGGGAAGACAAGAACTGCAACACCACCTCCGCCCAGAGGGCTGGAGGAAGTCCACACATGCTGGTTTTCGCTGACCTGGCTTCTTCCCCGGTTCAGCTCGGAGCTCCTCATGCCTCCGTGGCCCTACCTCGTCACACCACGCTCTACCAGGAAGCTGGCTACACGCGGTGTGGCCAGCCTGGGCGAGAGATGAAAACGCATGTGTCTAGGTGTCCTGCCAGCGCTCGGCCCTTCTATGGAAGTGCAGTCTGGGCTTCCGCATATAAATATATATATATATATATATATATATATCTCCAGCGCGTGGCCTCCACATGCTCCGCATGCGAATCCGGCCGCGTGTGTTTCCAGCTTCCCCGCGCTCCGGCTCTGCGCGCCTGGCTGCTGCTGCCCCCCCCCGGCTGCTCATCGTCAAACTCTTCGACGTCTGAGCGTCCCTTCTTCCTCTCGGCTGTCCCCCCCCCGCTTTGCCCGCCAGCCGCTTCGCTAGTTTGTGCCCCTGTCTAGCTTCTCGCTGGAGCGGAGTTCGCCACCTCGCCGCTGGCGGCAAAGTGTTTCCAGCTTCCCGCATCCCCGCGCCAGCTTTCATGGCCCGGGCGGGCTCCAGCCTCCTCCCCCCTCGCGCTCTGCTCTCTTATGCCCTCGTGCTTCAAGTCGCTCCCGCTGCACCCCCGCCGCTTGCCGCGACTGGCGCCATGGCTGTCTTTGACCACCTCAGGCCCCCAGAGACTAGGGCACAGACCAACCAGGACACTGGCAAGTCGGGAAAACAGCACCCTTTCCTGGAGCGTATTTCTTGGTTGCTTGGGGCATATAATGGGCGTTATAGCCCCGACCTCCCTCCCTCCCATAACGTAACGCCCCTCCCCCCCAGTGTGCTCCGGGCACTGCCGCCGTGCGCATCGGGCACACGGCGGGGGGGAGGCATCAATTACATTATACCCCCCCCCCCGGCCCCCTTCCCCCCTTATATTGCCCATAATCGGCTTGGTAGTCCAGCACAGTTTTTTCTGCTGCACTGCAGGATTCGGGTCGTCTCTGTCCCCGTCTATGGGGGGGCGCGCAGGCTCTGAGGGACTGTGCCCGGGGTTATTCCGGGAGTTTAGCAGAGCAGTTTTTTCTCGCGCCGCGTTCTGGAACAAATTGTTTCGAAGGATGTTGTATATGCATTTGTTTTGGTCTCGCGTGTCCGGGTTCACGGGGCCCTGGCCGCCTGGCGCCCGCGCATTTGAAACGTTTCCAGCTTCCCCGGTGCCCACCCAGGGGACACGGCCGCCCACGCCTGCGGAGATCGCCCCGCCGCGCGGCGGTCGTTCGCCGTGCCTGCGCCGAGCCTCCCCGCTGGGGAGTGGCAGTGTCGCGCCGCGGGCTTGCGGCCTCACGGCGCGGCGGCTGCCAGCCACCTGTCGCCGCGCCGCTTGTTCCGACGCGCGGCCTTCCGTCTTGGGGCGGGCGCCTCGGCCACCGGGGCAAGCACCGCCTCGGGCGCGGTGGGTTTGCCGTGGGTTTGCCGCGGTGCCGGTGTCGTCTACAGCGGCGTGGGGCGCAGGGTTTCGCCGCGAGGTTGCCGCGGTGTCGGCGTCGTCCACTTCGGCGCATCGGGAACAAACGGCGCTGCGACGCCTAGGGTCACTGCTTACCAAACCACCCCAAGCCAACCCGAGGGTCCCAGGCCCCCCAAATTTTGGGTTGAGGGATGTATGGGTTCAATCATGTTTCCTCAAAATGTTCTGGAGTGCCCCCCCGCCGGAAATTGACGATCCCAAAGGTGACTTCGGCTTGGGTTTGGGGTAGCCTGGCAGGTGGTCATGCACTCGTCATTTCTAGCCCTCGCCTCTTCCCCGGTTCTCGCCTCTTTCCCGAGGCTACCGTTTTCCTCCGGTTTTCCGTTTTTGCTTCTCGTCGCCCTTGGTGTCCTTCGTGTCGCTTGGCTGCGCTGGATGGTTAAAAGAAGGTGTTCTGTGTTGTTTTCGCTGGCGGTGAAGGCGGCGGTCCTCCTCTCCCCCCTCCCCTTGGAGGCCGCTGGAGGGGCTGAACTCGTTGGGACTTCAGGAAATTTGTCAGGTCCGGGGATGAAGCCGAATCCGCTCAACATCGGTCTGCGGACCCGTCCCAGCTCCCAGACAGTTTTTCGCTCATGATCCGTTTCTGGCTGCCCCGGGCTCCAGCACCCCACGGGGGCTCAAAGAGGTACAAGATCCTGATCGAACCCAACGTCTCGAACCTCGCCCCCCATTCCTGCTCGCAGGACCCAGTGCTGGGCCACCTGAGTGCCCCGAGCCGGCTCGAATCTCCCCCCCTCGCCCACAAATAGTGATGATGATGACAATAATAATAATATTACTACTAATAATGATAATAATAATAATAATAATAATAATAATAATATTAATGACGATAATAATAACCATCATCATCATAGAAATAATAACTAGTACTAATTATAATAATAACAAGAATGTTAAAGTAATAATAAGAATACGACTCATAGTAATGATAACAGCGATGATAATAATAATGATCTTATTAATAATACAAATCGTAGTCATAATAAGGCTAATAGTAATAACGATATTATATAGATAGTAGACAGGGACCTTCTTCCCTCCTCGCCCACCGCCCCATCTCTTCCCCCTCTTGTCCCTCCCCGCGAAGGCGGTGGAGGCCGCCCAACCGCCGCGGGCGGCGGCTGGGACCGGAGAGCCAGAGGCGCGCCGCCCCCGCCGCATCGCTTATCGCCGGGCGCCTGCGCGAGCAGCGCGCGGTCGCACCGCTTCTCCCCGCCCCTCTGCCTCTCCAGCCCCATGCCCCTCTCCCCATCCCGCTCTCGCCCTCATCCCCTCCCTCCCCCCCTCCCTCCCCCGTCCCCTTCCATCTGCTGCTTCCCGCCTCCCTCTCCCCCGCTCCCTCCCCTCCCCCCGCCCCTCCCCCCGCCCTCCCCTCCTCCTCCTCCTCCTCCTCCTCCTCTTCTCCTCCTCCTCTTCCTCCTCCCCCTCCTCCTCCTCCTCCTCCTCCTCCTCCTTGGTCCTCCTCCTCCTCCTACTCCTCCTCCTCGGTCCTCCTCCTCCTCCTCGGTCCTCCTCCTCCTCCTCATCCGGTCATCTTCCTCCTCCTGCTCCTCCTCCTCCTCCTCCTTCTCCTCCTCCTACCATGGCCCACTGCTGCGGCGACAGCTGCATGCAGATCGCGCGGTTCCGCGGAGTGGCGGTGCCATGTGGCACGCGAGCCCCATGGGACCTTCGGGTCCACTCCCGTGCGGCGAGTCCCAGCTTGGAAGCTTTGTGTTCCCCATGGGGCCCCGTGTGCGCGTGCCCGTCGGCCGCTTCCCCTTCCTGGCCCTGCAGCTCATTGAGCAAGCGGTTGGAAACTTTTGCAGGTGAGCTGTGCCAGTTGTGCAGCCCCCGTTGCGATTGGTCCGCGGGGCCCCCACGGGTGAGCCATGGCTGTGCGAGGTGTTGTCGGCGGGGCAGCGAGTCGCAAGGCGACTAGCCCCCGCTCGTGCCTGGTATACATCCCCAGAGTCAGGGCTTGTCGACTCTTGGCATTGCCAGGGCGGTCTGCACCAGGAAACTACATCCGCAGGCCGAAAGTGTTCCCTCTTGGGGTAAAAACTGGTATACAAAGACGAACGGATCCAATTAGATCCTTTTTTGGGTGTGCGAAAGTCTCGTGGATCGTATTTCTGTGCTCGGCGGATACAATTCCAGTTCGCGAAAAACCAAAAGATCTATTTGATTCGAAAGGATCGACTGTCATGGCGGACCCTGCCCATTCTCGTAACTCCCCCCATAACTTTGGGTAGCTCGAGCGTCACAGCGGGCGCGCATCCACTCACGACCCCCATAATAGTGATAAGCTCGGCCGTCGCTGCGGGCGCCCGCGTGGCCTCTCGACTCGAGCTCGAGAGGAAAATCTCTCGGCCCGCAGAAGCAGGATTTCGAACTTCGTCTCCCCCACCAGCTTCTTGCCGCCTGGCTCGGGCCGGCAGGGGCGAAAGCGGTCGGGTGACAGGACGGCGCGACAGCGCTGCTGCTAGGTCGGGCATGTTCCCCTACAGGCAGATTTTGAACGACATCTTAAACATAGCCCTTTAAATATTCAAAAAATACACAACCATCTTTTTAAAGTCACCATTTTTATCAATTTTTGAATACTCCTACTGTAGAGGGGCACGCCCGACTTAACGCTGCTGGCGTGGTCGACCCTAGCCCGCCGCCGGCGCCCCTGCGCGCAGGTGCGAGAGGGGTGCCAATTCCTTCATACCCAGGCCGAAAGTTGTTTTCCTCTGAGAGTTCAAGCGTGTAAAAAGCCAATGGATTCAATTGGATAAGTCTCGGGTGTGCGAAAGTCTCGCGGGCCCTATTTATGCGCTCGGCGGATTCACCTGCCAGTGCAGAAAACCCGGAAACAATTGATATATGTATGCTCCTGGAATGAACATTCAATATAGTAGCTACTATCCCGGACCCAGGGGAAATCGAATCCACGGGCACTGCACATGACACATCATCACCATACCAATCATCATCAGCAGCAGCAGCATCACCATCATCATCATCATCATCATCATCATCATCATCATCATCATCATCATCATCATCATCATCATCAGCATCACCATCCCCATCATCATCATCATCATCATCATCATCATCATCACCATCACCATCACCATCACCATCACCATCACCGTCATCATCATAACCAGCATCATCATCACCATCATCACCCTCCTCTTCCTCCTCATCATCATCACATCATCATCATCGTCGCCACCGTTATCACCACCTGCTCGAGCGTCATTGGGGGCTTTCGCCCACTCCCAGAACACCCTCAGGACACTGGAAGCAACGGAAGGCTCGATTGTCATGGCGGGCCCCGCCCACTCCCATTGTTACCCCCATAACACTGCAGCTCGAGCGTCACGGCGGGCTTCCGCGTGGCCTCTTTAGCTCAAGAGGAAAATGTTCCGGCCCGCGGAAATATGTTCCTATGCTCTTTCATTTCCTCCCATCAAGCATTCTGGCTTACGTGCTGAACCATGTCGGCGAGTTCTGACAGAGATGATGTCTGGTCGGCGGTCAGATCATGCCACTTCGCTTCGATATAAACCCAGTCCATTACAGTCATACAACACCCCTCTCCATCCCCCTCCTCCCTCCACCTCCTCCCTACACCTCCCCCATCCCTGCTCCTTGCTTCGCTTCGACGCGTTCCGTCCGCTCTGTCACGGGGGTCCCTTCCTGCTTTACTGAACTTGCGTTCTTGGTGCCCGTGCAGATATCTGGTTTGCAGTAAAGCGTACGCCGAACTGGTGATACTCTGCTAGTTGCAGCGCCCCATGTGCTGACAGGCGTTGGCTTCATCAGCGTCGCAATCCAAACCTCCTCTCCCTCCCCTCTCCCCTCCCCCTCCCGCTCCAACTCTCCCCATCTCCCCCCGAGTCTCCCCTCTCCCCCCCCATTCCCCTCTCCCTCCCCCCCTCCTCCCCCCCCCTCTCCCCTCCCCCTCCCGATTCGGCTCTCCTCTCCCCCCTCCCCGCCCGTCTGCCGCGCCCTCTCGCGCGGGGTGGCCCTGGGCCCCCCTCGGGGCCCGCGGAGGCGCCTCCGCGCGCCGCTTCCCCTGGGCCCCCCCCTGGCAGCGCGGCTCTGCCGGCCCCGCGCCGGCCGAGGGCCTCGGATCCGTGCAGCGGGCGCCCCCCATGCCAAGAGACGCCCTTAGGGCTCCTCCTCCTCCTCCTCCTCCTCCTCCTCCTCCTCCTCCTCCTCCTCCTCCTCCTCCTCCTCCTCCTCCTCCTCCTCCTCCTCCTATGGTACGGTCGCTCCTCCTCCTCCTCCTCCTCCTCCTCCTCCTCCTCCACATGCGAACCCTACCCCTGCCCCCCACGATTTCTGGGGGGAGGGCGGGGCTCACTTCGCTCGGGAGCTCCCGAGCGAAGTGAACCCCACCCTCCCCCCCAGGAATCGTGGGGGGTAGGGGTAGGGTTCGCATGTGGCCCCCTAGCCCTGCTTGCCTCCAGGGTGCCCTGGGTGTCCTGGGTTTCGACGGTGTTGCGACGGAGAGCGCGACGTGCTCACGCCAGGAATCGAGGGACTTCCCGGGGTCCCAGGGCCGGGTTTCCTGTGGGGGGTTTCTGGTGGACTGGCCTCCGCTGTGCGCAGTGCGAGGTGTGCCTGGACTCGTTCGCTGTTCGAGACGCCATTTGGCGACTGCAGTGCGGGCACCAGTTTTAAGCCGAGTGCTGGGAACGTGCCGCCCGCACACACGTCACCAGCCGCGTGAATGCTGCAGCCGTCGAGGCTCCACGCGCCGTCTGCAGAGGACTGGGCACACTCGTTGCCCAGCGTCCCTACGCGGGCCACCGTGGCCAGGACGACTCTTCGGGTAATGCCCTGCACCGCGCCCTAGAGATCAGAGAATTCCGGCAGCACCTGGACGCGGTGGTGGCCACCATGGCCACGAGCAGCGACAGCGTGCAGAGGGTGGACAAGCCCACACAGCAGGTGACAACACCATCCCCGCAGGGGGGCTCCAGCGCCCATTCCAGTACTGCGAGATGCGGGGACACCTGCCATACCGCCAGATCCGTTCGACAACCCACTGCTGAATCGGCTCGAGCAGCAACAACAGCACCGAGCCACCGGAGCGCGACACCACCGTCGCCCAAGCTCGGTCACGAACTGTGAGAGTCGTGCTGATTCCCCCTTACGCGGCCGTAGCCGAAACGACGAAGCGCTCGAGCGTGCGATGTACGAGCACGCGACGATCTTCATGCTGAACGACGCGGCCGCACACGGCGGGCACTCAATTTTGACAAACTACTCTATGTCAGCGGAGGTGGGCTCGGACCTGCAGTGCGCCACACGTTCGGCAAGTTCAGCATCGCTTGCCGATACAACGAAGCCTGGTCGGACACGACCCAGATGGATTCCTTCTTGGTCAGCGTTGCAGAGGGCTCTGGCGAGAACCTTCCCGCCAGCCTGGGCCGAACCTCCATGCAGCAGAGGTGGGCCATGCCCATTCTGGAGGAGGGCCGCGAGCAGATCATCTTCCCAGGCGATGCCACGCACGAGGTGGCCCCGGGACGGGGCGTCAAGAGTATGCGCCTGGGAGAGATCCCGTCGGGTCATCTTGGCCCTTCCACGCTCGAAGTTCAACGAAGCAGCGCGCCTCGCACCGCCGAGCGCAGCAGTCAGGAAAAGGCCTTCACCTACGCGAGTGCCGGGACACGAATGAATCCGCCTGTCGGTTGCCCCGAATAGCCACGCGCTGGAGCGGACTGCCTCTGCCTCGCCGCCGACGAAGAGGAGTGCCAGGACACGGGCTGATAATAGTTTAGGGACGTGGGCGCACCTTGGCCTCGCCAGCCAGGCCACTGGCACTCCCCGCGGACCAGCCCGCAACTCCGCCGACTCCGGCAGTCAGGCCACTGGCGAACACGATGATCGTTACCTGCGCAGGTACTTGGACAGGGCAGCAGGCGACGCCATCAACATGATGGTGATCACCGCGCTGGACCGATGGCATAGGTCCGATCGGCCCGTCACGAAGTACGTAGTCACGCGTGCCCTCCTGAGCCATGCTGAGCTATCTTGGGCCATATTGAAGCTATATTGCGGCCTCTTGGAGGTGTGCCAGAGGTTATCGTAAGCCATACTCAACCTCCTCGGACCATTTTGGGGGCGGGGGGAGGAAGGGGGGGACGAGGAGGAGGAGGAAGAGGGGGAAAAGAGAACACGAGGAGAAGGGGGAAGAAGAGGAAGAGGAGGAATGCCGCATGAGGAGTATGACGATGCTGCTGATGATGATGATTCTGATGATGGTGATGATGATGCTGATGCTGCTGCTGATGATGATGATGATGATGATTATGATGCTGATGATTATGATGATGATGATGATGATGATGATGATGATGATGATGATGATGATGATGATGATGCTGATGATGCTGATGATGCTGATGATGCTGATGCTGATGCTGATGATGATGACGATGATGATGGTGGCGGTGGTGGTGATGACGATGACGATGACGATGACGATGACGATGATGATGAGGAGGAGGAGGAGGAGGAGGAGGAGGAGGGGGAGGACGCCGAGGGAGGAGGCAGGAAAGGAGGAGGAAAGAGAAGGAACGGACAACGACAAGGAGGATGAGAAGTCGGGCTTTGGAGATGTGTTGTTGTGCGAGGTTCTTGTAGGTCGACGAAGGTCATCTCAGGGGCTCTCGTGCGGTCCCCGTGGTGCCTCTCTGGCCATTCTTGGGGTGTTTGGGGGGCTTGTTTTGGGGGTCTTGGGGCTCTCTTGGGGCTCATCGGCGGGGTCTGGGAGGCCTCTTGGGCCCCATGTCTCCAAAAGACGGGGGGGCATATGAACAAGGAGTTCCTCCCATGGCACTGTCCTTCTCCAGTCTTTTCTCCCGCCGTCCACGCCGCATCATTGTTCGTCTGACGTCGAGCTCGACCAACATATGAGGGAGGATGCTGATCTAGACTGGCGTGGAGTACCTTGGGAAGTGGAACGATTTCTCGCTGAAAGAATTCAGTGCCAAGGGACACGCACGTTTGCCCGCGCGAGTGTTCGACGGCCGATCCAGACATGATCGCCAGGCTTCCTGCGCGACGTGCTGTTGATTGCCTGTTTCTCCCGAGCTGTCACTGGTTTCCCGCTGCCCGCGTGTGTCACCAGGGGAGGTGGTAGGGGGAGGGGTAAACCCATTTCCCGAGCACGGGAAGGAGAGGTGGTGGACGAGAGAAGGTAAAAATCTCGTTCAACCACCTACGCCCACAGGGCTGGTGTGATTTGTTGGACGGTTTAACACATGAACTGATGCCCAGGCACGATGCCATGATCAATGTGGTGCCGGAGCTCGCATGAAGGATGGGAAACCTAGGTTGTCCTGATCAATGCGGTTTTGGAGCACGCGTGAAGGGTCGGGAAGATGTGTTTCATTGACGCAACACATGTTCCCATGCCGCGGCGGCTATGTTAGGCCGCATGTTTGAATCATGCCACAAGTGCTCCGTGGGAAAAAACACGTGTCTGTGGGAAAACACACACGTGTTTATGGGGGAAAAACACGTGTCTGTGTGTGTGTTTTCCCAACTCAAAACACGTCTCTGTGTTGTTTGTTCCCAGAGTGTTGTTTTTTTTCCCACGTGCTCCTGTGCCGCGGCGGCTACGTCAGGCCGCGGGGGCGCTTCCGTGGCGCTATCCTTCCCAGCAGGATGAGTGTTCGCATCTTCGGCCGGTTGGCGACCCGCGGAGCTTCCTAACACTTCCGCCCTGGGAGCAGAACAACGAAAAGAGGAGGAGGAGGAGAAGGAGGAGGAGGAGCAGGAGGAGGAGGAAGAGGAGGAGGAGGAGGAGGAGAAGGTTATGACGGATCTGGGGGAGCCTGATGCGCAGGCGGGGGAAGAGGGGGAAGAGGATGGGGGAGGAGGAGAAAAGGGAAAAGGGGGAGGAGGGGGACGAGGAACGCGGCGCGAGTTTTCGGCTTTCGACGGGGGGGGACCTGAATTTGTATCCCCCCTCTTTTTGAACCGTGGGGCTCAAGGCTCCATAACCAGCAGAGGAGGGGCCTCCTCCTCTTTGCAGGGGTTTGGCAGGGTCTGTGCAGGGTTTTGCAGGGGCGGGGGCTGTGCAGACCTTGCGAAGACCATGGGAAGCGAAAGTCTTGGAGGCCTCGTGGGGCGATCTTGGGCCCAATGCGTCAAAGAGAGGGCCCCCGCCATACCGAAGCTCAAACACAGCATCGTGGGGCTCTCTTGGGGCGCTCTTGGGGCGCGCTTCGGCGCTCTCGAGGGGCTCTCTTGGCGCCCTCTCGGGGCTCTCTTGGGCCGTATTGGGGCCATCTTGATGCCTCGCCCATCGGAAGCGGAACGGCGTGGCGAGAAGGAAAACCCCATTGATGCTCCTGACGTGTTTGACGGACTTGGGTCTCTTGGGGGGGTCCCTGGAGGGCTCGGAGGGCCTTTGGAACCGTTTTGGGGCTGGCTTGGGGCCTTTGCGAGGCTTGTCGGAGGCTACCTTGACCCACCTTGATCTATCTTGAGCCATCTTGGAGGCCATCTTGGGCTCCTGGAGCCATCTTGGCGCCATGTTCGGCCACCTCGGACGCTCTGACCGATCCCTCCCCTCCCCTTCCAGGCCCAGCGGAGGGGGCAGAGAGTGGTCAAGGCATCCTCCCCACCCGCAAGCCGTCTCGCTCACTCCCACCCGCCCTCCAACACATAAGTAGCACCCGAGCCACAGCGTGTTCAGCGGTAGCTTTTGGAACCAAAACAGACCTCATGTGCGCAGCGCGGGGGCGTGGTGCGCCATGCGTGCCAGGCGCGCCGCGCGCGCCAGGTGCGCCAGGCACTCGTGTGGTCCAAGCGTGCCGAGACGCTTGGTGCGCCAGATGCGCCACGTGATTCACGTGCGCCATGTGTGCCGCATGCTCCAGCCGTGCCAGGTGCGCAACGTTCGGGGCATGCGCAGAGCGTGGCAGGTGCGCCTGTGCACGAGCAGGACGGTACATATCGGGAAACGTGTCGGCCCCGACCACCTTCGTCGCGCAATCGCGGCGGGGTGGCCATCACAGCGTCTGGTTGGCCTGCACATGGCAGGCCATATGCCAGCACCCCCGCCGTCCCAGTCAAAAACCAATGCACACTGGTCGCGGGATGCCCGCGCATGATCCCAGATGTTGCCTCGAAGTGCATTTTTATATGGTTTTTGTGACAGGGATGCTGGCCGTGCCCGCATCAGGCAATATGCGGGCACCCACACCGTCGTTTTCAACAATAAAACGCAAAGTGTTCTGGCCCACCCCGATATAGGGGGAGGGGTAAACCCTTTTCCCCCGTTCAGGGGAAGGCAGGATGTGACAGAGAGAAGGCAACACTTTGTAAACCACCTGCGCCCAGAGGGCTGGTGGGATGTTCGTCCCATGCGATCAAGCGTGCTTCTCGCGCGCGCATGTCGAAAACATTCGAACGCCCTTGCGCGCGTGCTGGCGGGGGCGATCCCTGTCAATAAGTACCATGCGGGCCACTCGCGCCCGTCGGTTGCGCGCGCGTGTCGAATTCCTTCCGAAACATTCAGCACCGACACGTGAACACCATCACCGTCATCGGTGTGATCAGCATCGGCGCTGTAATTGGCCTTGCCGTCGTCATCGTCATCCTCGTCAGCAGCATCGCTACTGCCATCATCTTTTCCGCCGTTGTCGACGTCGCCATGATACCGCGCCCGCCCGAGTCACCGACTCGTACTGAAGTGCCCGCGCGCCAGCGCGGCCTGCGAGACGCGCCGTGAAGTTCCCAGCGGTCAACGCCACCGCGGCCGCGTCGGTCGCGCCAGACTAGCGCGAGCTTGCGCGCGCTAGCGCGGCCGCAGCGATGCGGCCAGCCAGCGCCAAGCAGTAATCGCAATCGCGCCGCATGGGGTTTGCAAACCAAATTGCGGGTGGGTGGGTGGGGTGATTGTGCAAGCAGTGGTGGCAACTTCAAATTCGGCAGGGCGACTTGCACCGCACAGATTGCACCACACATATTGCCCCTGCACCACGTAGATTGCACCACGTAGGTTGCACGACATAGATTGCACCACATGGATTGCACAACGTAGATTGCATCCCGTAGATTGCGCTACATGAATAGATCATCATGTATTGCACAACCTGCATTTGCACACTTACAATGCTTAGGATCCACCTTGGATGACACACAAACACACATACATAGAGAGAGAGAGAGAGACGGAGACAGAGCGAGAGAGAGAGAGAGACGGAGACAGAGAGAGAGAGAGAGGCAGAGAGAGAGCGAGCGAGAGACACGCATACAGCGAGGACACTGGCGGTATCTCCGTGGGCTCCAGAGTTGTCGCCACCGGCGTCCGCAACCAGCCGCACCTCGACGGGCAGGCGGGGACCGCCATCGAGTGGGACGAGGTCGAGGAGCGCTGGAAGGTGCCCCCCCCCACCCCCTGCGCGCAGCCCTGGCCCTGGGACTCCGCCTCGCCTCGTCCGAGTGTCGTGCCGTCCGCTTCGATTCCGTCCGCTCGGGTTCGTCCGCTTCGGTCCGCCCGGGTCTCGCAAGAGGTCACCACCCACCAAACCACCCCAACCCAACCCGAAGGCTCAGATTTACCCTCGATTTCCAGTGGGGGGGGGTCGGGACACATTGAAAAAACACATGTGGAACCCTTACACCCCCCAACCCGAAATTCGGGTCTTCTGGTTGGGTTGGGGTGGTCTGGTAGGTAGTCAAGAGGACGAGACGGAAGCGGACGAAACGAAAGCCCACCGGCCAGGGAGCCGCGAGCAGCCGGGTCCTCCAGCGAAGCGTGTGGTCCGAGCCGCGGGCCCCCCCGGACCCCTCTCGGCTCCCAGCCCCGCTGCCCGGACCAACTGCTCTTCCGGGGTGCAGCCGATGGGGCGGGTGGTAATGTGAAGTCGGGCCTGCCCCTCTACAGGAGGAGCAGTCAAAAATGGTGCAAAAATAGGGACTTCTTTAGTATGTCTTCTGATCTTTTTTGAATATTGTTTGGCTATTCTTTGATTTTTCCTCGAAAATCGGCCTGTAGAGGGACAGGCCCGACCTAATGGTAATGGGGGGTGGCCCACGTGGGGGGTGAAAAGCAGAGCCCTACTTCCCCGTTGCGAAAGTTATTCATCTTGAGCACTGACGTGAAGGGCGTCTCCGAGCGGGGCCCCCCTAGCCCCCGTAGACTCCTAGCACGGCAGCCTTCGGTCTGGTTGGGCGGGAAAGCTTTCAGATAATTTCGTTGGTGTACAACTAATAGTATATAAACAATTCAGGATCAAATCCCTCCCCCTATAAACTCACGAGGGGGAAGTCATTCCCGGCCCATTCCACACAATTCTGAATATCTCCCCGTGTGAAATCACAAAAATAAATCATTCACAGCCGACTTCTCATCACAGCTCCCAGCCATGCCAAATTTGGCCCAGATGAATGAACTCTCGCAACGGGGATGTAAAAGGGGCTATTTGGGGCCCCTGTTGGAACCAGCTGATGCCCACAAGGGGCCCCAAATGGCCCCCTTTTTGGGGCCTTTTCTCTTCACCCCCCCCGTGTGGATCACCCCCCATTGCCACCCGCCCGTGCCAAGGCGCCGAAACACGGTAGAGGGCAACAATCAGCGAACACCCCCCCTGCCCCCCCAAACTCGAAACTGGCACGCGCGGGGGAGACTGCGGTCGAGGTGCAACTCCTCAGACCCACCGCCACCTTTGAGAACACCTGGGGGGAGGGGGGAGGCGTTCACAGATGAATGTGGCATGAGTGTTCGCTATTTTCTCCGAGGCTCGTAAGCCCAGAGATCCGACGTCGTGATTTTTTTCAGTGCGCGATCCCTGGAAGCCTCGACCCATTCCCCAGGACCGGTTTTTCATCCTGAGTCGTTTCTTGACGGTCCCGAGGCCCGGCGAGGGCCCCTGGGGGCCGAAATCTGAGGAAAACCTCCGTCTTGATGTTGTTCAGTGCGTGGGATCTCTGGGAGAGCCACCTGGGGCTCCGGAGGGGCGCCGGCCCTCGGGCCCGTCCGGTCCGGGTCGGGTCGGGGGGCGGGGAAGTCTTCGTGGCCGAGGCCCGCCGTGGCCGGAGCAGCCCATCCCGCAGCTCCCCAGCCAGTGCCCCCTGTGTGGCTGCGGAGGTCGAGTGCTGGAGAGGGAGCGTGCTGCGTGCTGCCAGGTAATTTCCAGATGTCCAAAAGTCAGAGCGTGGATTGCCTACCCCGCTGTCGCTTCCAGGAAAGACCAAGTCATACCACGCGCCTCCTCGTCAAGCGGCCTGACCAGTACAGGCCGTAGTTTGGCATCGTTTGGTATCTCTTGGAAGCGAGGGTGGTCAAAAGCGAGGTAGGTTTGTTTTCCCCCTAAAAAAACTTGTTCAAGCATGGTTTGAACCTGTAAGAAACATGTTTGGAGCATTGTGAGAACATATTTTGCACACATGCTATACGCACTTTCTAGTTCAACGATAGGACTGTTGGAGTGTCCACTGTTATGGCAATTACAACCCTATGGCAGCACGAGGCTTCAGGGCTGGACCTAAGCGCTGTTATTTGCTGGACTTCGGCTGTGATTTGTTTTGCGTTTTGGCAGGGAGCGTACTGGAAAACAGGTGGAGGAGAAGGAAAAGCAAAACGAAAGCAAAACGAAAAACAACGTTCAGGTCCAGCCCTGCGAGGACTGTAGTTTTTTGTTCATTACCCTTGGGCTGGGAGACGGCCTCCGCACATCGGCAACTGCGGCACACACACACACACACACACACATCAGCGCGATCCCCAAAGGCGTCAACGTCCTGAGATGCTCCCGGCTTCCCGCCCCGCGGAGCGGAGCGACACGCCATCCGCTTGCAGGGTACAGCGTGTCGCTGGGCCGCCGCCGCGACACGCCAAGCAAACGTTCTCGACCGTAAACAACACCCAGGCCCCACGCAGCGCACCTTTTCCTTGATTTGTCTCTCGATTGCTTCGCGGCCACGGCTGTGGGGTCGGGCCCCCAGGCGGCTGGCCGGAGCGGTGTCGGAGACGGCTCCAGATTCGGGCGGGTGGCAATGGGGGGTGAGCCACATGGGGGGGGGGGGGAAGAAATGGGGCCTGCAGGGGCCCTTGAGGGCTCCTCGTGGGGCCAGTGGGTGCCCAAAAGGGGCCCTAAGGGGGCCCCTTTGGGGCCCTTTTCTTCAGCCCCGCTGGGGTCACCCCCAAAACTGCCACCCGCCCGAGGCTCCAGATGTCAGTGTCTCCTGGCGCTCGGGAGGCCGTCTGCGGGCGCTGTTCGGCTGTTAGCGCGGGCGGAGCCCGGCCTTCCCCCGCGAGCTCGCCGAGGGGTTCGGAGTTTCGTGCGCCGTTTTCTGGCGGCACGCGTCTGGCGATCCCTTCACGAGACGTCGGAGATGCAATGGACACACGGGCGTAGTAGAAAAAAAAAACGCCCGAGTACAACGACTAGAGGATGGCGCAAGAGCGCCTCCCGCGCCCCCAATTTCAATGTTCATATAAGGGAGCAGGCCGCGGTTTGCAAGTGTGGGCGTTTTTTTCGAAACGACTCGCGCTCCCCCGTGTCGACCACCCCGAACTTTGAGTTTGGGGCAGGAGGGTTATACCTGCTTCAACACGCATTAGATATGGGCGTTTTTTTTGAAAACCTCGGTAGTACTATTATGTGTGAGGGCGATTCCGCTGGTCGGAGCGTGGCGGAAGCAAGCGGGAGTGGAAACGTGCACAAGATGTCAACCTTGGTGCGCTCAGTGGCTCATGAACTGGCCGTTTGTATCTACTTCGTTCCCTCCCGCCTCCCTTCACCCTCTTTCCCCTTCGGTTCCGATACTCTTGCACAGCGAACTCGTGTCAGCAGCCTTCCGGCTGCCTTCTTGTGGGAACTCACCTCATTACGTGTTCTTGGTGTTTTTTGTTTGTGTGGTTGTTGTAGCGACCTTGCCAAGTTTGTGGCGTAGTGTAAGTCGTGTTCCAGAATATGGGGCGCGTGACACCAGACCTTCTCTTGGAGAGCACTGCCAAGCCGCTGGAGTTTATCCAGGAGTTTCGATCGTGCCGGGAAAAAGAACACAGATAGGAGGAGGAAAGGGAAACGGATAGCAGGAGCAAAGGGGAGGAGGAGGAGGAGGAGAAAAATGAGGAGAAGGCCCATCAGTTGGAAAGTGGCCGAGGAAGGAAGAGGATGAGTGGGAGTGAGAGGGGCAGGAGGAGCATGAAGCTGGAGGAGGGGGGAGGAAGACAAGCAGCATGAGGGGGCTTGAGAGGAGGAGCAGAGGGGGGGGGGAGGAGGACCAACAGCAGGACGAGGACGAGAGAGGAGGAGCAGCAGCAGGACTGTGAGGGCCTTGGGCGGGGAGCCGACGCGGCAAGAAGCTCGGGGCAGAGTGGCTCCTCTTGGCGCCCTCGCGGGCTGCGGCCACGGGGCGGGCAGCGCCAGCGCTCCGCGGTCGCCTCCCCGCCCCCCTCCCGCCGGCCAGGTCGCCATGGACGACCGGGGCTCGGCTGCCCGGATGACGCCCTGGCCTCCAACGCGACGACGGGATCGGGGCGGAGGTTTGTCGCCCTCTTCGGCCTCTGGGGGCTGCGGCTGCGCCTCAGGACCATGAAGCGGATTCTCCGGGGTGAGAAGCGGTCTCCGGCAAGGGGTCCACAAGTCCGGGGGTCCTGTGTTGCAGCAAATCTGAACAGCGGAGGTTTGTGTGGGCATTTCTGCCTTACCCTCGCTGGAGGCGTGAAGTTTGATGTGGTCCCTCGACTCGTGGCGGATCTGCCATGATTCAGCCAGACTTCTTTGACCTGCCCGAGTTTGTCTGGGTGGTCTGCATCAAGCTACCTCGCCTCAGCTTTACCCCCACGCGTCGATCGGAGTAGAGCTGTGAAGTCAATGGGTGCCCTTCCTCGTCCTCTGGCTCCTCCTCCTCCTCCTCGTCATCATCATCGTCGTCGTCATCATCATTATCATCAACATCATCATCCCGACGCGAAGCATCCTTGTGCACCTCGGCCGGTAGGTTGGCTGTGCAGAGCTGGAGCGGATCATCCTGGAGATAGGCCCCCGGGGCTTCGTTCGCCTGGTCTCGCGAGCCTCGGCAGCGGCGCCTCGCCGAAGCGACTCCGTCCTTTCCCAGTGCGGGGGAGGCCTTGGAACCCTCGGCCCTCGCCCATCCTCCGTAGATGCGCTAACGGTGTGTTAGCTAACGGCGAAGTAGGAAAACCAATTGTAGGAAGACGTGGTTCGTGGCCGAACCAATGGTAGGAGCGCGTGGTTCGTGTTTCCCTACGACTCGCTGTGTCGCTTTCGTTCGATGCATTCGCGTACTTGAAATGCAGGAAGCGGTGTTTCGTGATTTCCTGCCTCTTGTCTTGCGTGAGCCCGGTGTCACAGAAACGAGATCCCCAACCGCACCGTTAACCAACCACGCCGTCAGCGCGGCCTTGGATCC